CATTTATAAATAGTTATCATAATCCATGATTGCCCCCGCCAGTCGGCAAGGCACCGGATGATGGAGATGATTATATTACATGAATACATCGTTCAGACTGCGAGAAAAAGAGATACAAGGGCAAAAAGACAAAAAAGAGAAAAAGATACAGAGAGAGAGAGAGAGAGGGAGAGAGAGAGAGAGAGAGAGAGAGAGAGAGAGAGAGAGAGAGAGAGAGAGAGAGAGAGAGAGAGAGAGAGAAGAGGGGTCCAGCAGAAATAAAGAAGCAAAATGATAGAGAGAGCAGAAATAGATGAGTGAGAGATGAATGGAAGATATGTTTGTGTTGGAATGTCCTGGACCCCTTTGTGAAATTGAAACGGATTGTTTTGGGAGCTGTTTAAGTTTGTTGGTTTTTTTGCTATCGTGGTCCTTACTTTCAATATTGGAATATATTAGCATTATCACTGAAACACCGGATACGTCTCTGACCTGAAAAAGCAACACATCTACAACTGTTCCATTTATTTCTTCTAAAAGCAGTATTCAATGGTTGATTGAGAGTAAAAGAAGCAATAGATAAAACTAAAGAATATTGCAAATTACAAACCAAGAAATCCGTTCTTGTTTCTTTCTCTTAAAGTAAAAAAGACAAGACTCTTATGTACTAAAGAAAAAAAGTCACACTTATTTTGATTTAATGAACTCTAAGGTCCAAGTAACATCGACTGCAATCGCTGGCCAGCTTCTGAGATTGAGTACTAAGGCCAAACTATTTTTAATTGTTGCTAAAGCAGTTTCATAATAGTACCAGCTGCTAGTGCTCCAGTGATGATTTGTCAAAATTCAAATTCTAAACATAAAAGGAAGTGAAAAGATCAGGTAATTTGGTAAGAAATATAAATAAATTAAATAGAAACATGTTTAAAAAATCTCTCACGAGAAATGTTGCCTTCTGAGATAAGAACTATCGAGCAACTTGCCAATAAAATGAACATTTTAAAGCCATGTTTTACTGTTTCAGTGTCTTTTTTTTTCTTATCCAGTATCAGAGGATATCTTGAAGAAACAGCACAGCCGTGACTGTTTGCTTGTTTGCCTTTATTCACATGAATGTATATTTACACAAGAATAACTTGTCTTACTGCTTAGTGCTTTAAGATAATCACTTTTGAAATTCAACTTTATCTAACTCCTGTCTGCAAAATGGCAGTTTTTTGTATAACTATTGTAAATATAGATGTTCAAGTGTAATTCGATTTATTACCTGTATATTTATGAGACAGGCGAGCACTAGAGAGCAATGTGTTAAGATTTTTCTCACCAATATGGGTGACTTTTGTTAACTCGTTTATTCGATACAAATGAAAGCTATGCTTCCCAAACAATTTGGAAACTTGACTTACTGAAAAACAGAGGGAAAACAAGAAAATTGTGCAAATAGATTGTCTAAAGTTGTCAGTTAGACGTGAAGAAGTTAGTTTTTAGAAATTTTAGTCGGTGCCCTGTGTCGCTACCAAACACAAACAGGCCGATTGGCAGTGGGTTTTTCAAACAGAAATTCTCAAAATTCCAAAGAAATATATTATCTCGATTTGCATTGCTCTTGTGCACCGGTATCGGATTTTAAACACTTATTATGCGCACGTATATTGCCACAATTTTAATACAAAATATGAACCTGTTCTCTATAATGCACATACCAATGATTTTACAATGCTTTGATTTTTTCCCTACGATGTACAACCTAAATACGATTTGAAATACACACGATCGAAATTAGGCTTTGGCAGAATTGAAACAAATAGGACTTTCAAGTCTCAAGTCCTAACACCTTGATACCTGCAAGTCTCAAGCCCAATTTCAAGTCCAGGGGACGTAATAAAGTATACATGTAACATGAATAGTCTCTTTGATAGTAAAGCCATCATCATTACTTCCCTTTATCGTTATCATTATTTTGTTTTTCTCCAACCAACCACCTGGCCCATGTTGAGACATATGGAACATCTTTGTGATAGATCTACTTGTTTGGTTGATTTTTTTTATTTAAAAAAAAATACTTTTCTTCGCTTGTTTGTTTTTTGTTCTGTTCTCTGTTGTATTAATAAACTCAGGAATTGCTTCAGCCTTGGATGGCAATGATGGCATTGAAGCCTTATCCGGGCCTAGGCCTGCCTACCCCTTATCGAGGAAGTGGACTCAACCAATACGCTAATACGCCAAGGGCGAGCGAATCCTAGCAAGTAATAGGGGTGGTACTGCCTACCCCTTATCGAAGAAATGGACTCAACCAATCCGCCTAGGACGAGCAAGCAAGTCCGAGCAAGTAGAAGGGATGGTAGGTGTATTTGAATTCAAACAATCAAACTGAAAGCACAAAATTAATAAGAAACATGCCAATTTTTAGCATTTCTTTAGACATTGGTTCACTG